CTGCGTGGAGAGCCCCATCGTAGTTGCTGCTTGTCAGCGAGTTCTGCTTCTGCCTTCGGGACCGGTGGTAAAAAATCGACTCGATGCCGATGCCGATGCCGATGGCTGCCGGCCTGGCTGGCTGCTTGCCTGGCTGCCTGCTAGCAAGCCGTAAATAAAGACCGGCAAACATTAATAACTCCCATTGGGTGTGTTAACAGGCAATGACCAAAAGAGGGCAGGCCTGGCATGGATTTGGACTACGCTTTTGTTGCTATTACCTACCCTCTGGATCTGAGCTCCTGGCCTGGATTTCTCTCTCCCTCTCTCTCCCCCTCTCTCTCTCTCATGCTCTCTGCATAAATTGCAGTAAAAACGACACGAAAATAACTAGCCATGTTCTTGTTGCTATTTGTTGTTGTTGCTGTTGCTGTCTATGAAAAACGATGTGCAACAAAAGTAACGTAGAAAGAGCAGGTGAAAAATTGCGCATACGTCAGGTGCGCCGATGGCCCGAGAATGCTGCGAAGCAAGCGACGTGTAATGCATGTAAGACAATCATTTTGACAAGCCAGCAGTAACAGTAGCGCTACTGTGTTTACATTCAGCCACACCCCATCGTAGACGCTGTCTGGCCCAGGCCACCTGGCACCTGGCCACCTGCCCTTGCCACCTTTCCGCCTGCCACCGAGTTACTCATTGGCCCGTCTCTCGCCTGGCTGCCTTTTGATTATTATGCACTTTGATACTTATCTTTAATTGAGGTAGCTTTTCCCCGAGAACAGCTGAAAGCTTTCTTTTTACGCTACACTTAACTCAGAATTATTTTCTCGTGTTTCATTTTTCCCTCGCTTTTTTCTTCATTTATATATTTATTTATTTTATTTTTTTTTATTTTTTTATCATGTTGACTTTACTAATTCACCGTAGTCTTATTATTTAGCGACTGGCTTTGCTCTGATTTATGCGGAAAATACGAGCTTTAGTCAAGTGAAATAATAATCAAAAGTGCCTTAATCTACCATGTACTGAGCTCAGCCAGGATCGAGCTGTTGCCTACAATAATCGAAATTGTTTCGAGAAAAGAAAAGGCATAAAAAGAACTCTTCTCACACGCATGCCCAAAACTGTGCACCTCTGCCATTTCAGCTCTCAGAATAAAAAAAACGAGCCTCTGAAGAATGTGTTATTAAATAACTTTGCTACGAGCTCCGTAAACTTTTTGGGGCACATGCGTAAATACTTTAAAAAAGAAATGCTCTTTAAAGCTTTAGAAGGTGAGGGAGTCATATAGGTGAAGGAGATATGCCACAGCGGAAATTTAATCAGACCTGTCTAGCCTTTTTTATCAGCTACGGGATAAAAGAAACTTCAAAATATTAATAATAAATATGAAAAATATAATAATATTTCTTCTCTTCATCTGCTCTTCTTCTCTTAACTCTTTTATAACTAAGAAAAAAAAAGCACACATACATAATAATCAAAATAAATAAAAATTAAAATAAAAATTAAAACTTTTCTTTTTCGATTGCTCCGTGTTTCTCCCATATCAAACCTTTGAAAATACTAATATTAAAACCACATAAAATATATAAAAGACATGCATATTCTTGTGTTACTTTAAAAGAGAATCAGCCTCTAGCCTTTTTTTTATCAGCTACGGGATAAAAGAAACTTCAAAATATTAATAATAAATATGAGAAATATAATAATATTTCTTCTCTTCTTCTGCTCTTCTTCTCTTAACTCTTTTATAACTAAGAAAAAAACACATACGTGTTTCTCCCATCTCAAACCTTTGAAAATACTAATACTAAAACCACATAAAATATATAAAAGACATGCATATTCTTGTGTTACTTTAAAAGAGAATCAGCCTCTACTCTTTGAATTGATAATATCAATAATAATTTTAATCAGATCTGGCTAGCTTTGCTAAGCTTTAATGTACTTATGTACGATATTCAATGGAACCTTTGCTAAAAAAAACTCTTTCACTCTCTATCTCTCTGTCCCTCTCCCACTCTCTCTCTCTATCTCCCTCTGATGTGAGAAGTAAGCTCGTTTGAAAATTCTGTGTAAAAGCTCTAGTTTCACATAGACATTGTTATATGGCTTCGGGTATGATACAAATTGCAATAGAATAAAATCAAATAAAATTTCAAGAAAGTTCACATTTCCTTACAATAAATCTTAATATTTTTACACTGCTTTCGCTCACTTGTTCCGTTTGCTTTTTGCGTATTTCATTTCAGTTAAAGTTGGCTTACAACTTGCTTCATACATATTGAAGAGCATTAAACAGACAACCGTTTAGATACCCCGCTGGCACTCACACATACATACATATGTATACGCAGTGCACTAAGCGTTTTATGGCCATTGTTGCCTTGCGTACGCTTTGTGCGCAGTTCAGGGCATGTCATTATATGTCTGTATGTGTGTGTGTGTGTGTGTGTGGGAGTGCAGCCCCAAGTCCTGCTGAAAACGTGTGCATCTTGCAGCCTTTGCGAATCGTTTTGTCGTCAGACGTCTGCAACGGATGCCCTGGCTAATTTTGCGTAAAATGAGTTCCCTAGCCGTAAGCCAATAATTCATTAGGAGTCCCAGGGTCGAGGGCTCAGCCACCAGGTTCCCAACACGGCGTATGCAAATGAGCAGTGTGTGCGGCCCTCTGCTCTGTTATGATTGCCCGTGTTTTGTGCGTCAATGACCACACCACCCTCTCGCTCTTTCGTTCTCCCATCTCACTCTCTCTCTCTCTCTCTCTCTCTCTGTCAGAAATCAAATCAATCAGGAATAGTTATGGCTGTCATTTCCGTTCCCCTTGCTTGTGTGCGCCGTGTCGTATACGCAATATTTAAGCAGCACACATTTGAGTTCGAACCAAGTCTATATACAATGTAAATAGAGTATTTTCGTAATTATTTCAACCTTCTTATGGAATCCAAAAATACTCTTGTCGTGTATTATTCCCCAGTTATTCGGCACACTTACCTCCAGCCTTATATTCAGCACCTTTCACCTGCCAAGCAAAGGCTGAGCATAGCCAGTGGCCAAGTTGGCGTAGCCTCGCCGTGGGCTGCTGTGAGTGCATTTCAATTTGCGTTGCAGGGGTCGTAGGCGCTGTGCCTCCTGCTTTTATGAAAGCAATATGCATATGGCCGACAATCCACTCGAGCGCTGCTATTTGCATTCACTTCGTTGCAGTGTTTGCCAGTCCACTTCTGCTGCACACTCGTCTGGGTCGCCACCACATTTTAATCCTGTCAAAGGCGGTTGTAGTGCTTCGGGCTGGCTCTCTTAAAGTTTCATGGAATTTACTAGCTGCAACAACAACTTGCCTCTGGTTCGTTGGCTAAGCGACACTTGGCTGCATGAGTAAACAAAACAGTTGGTGCAGGCAAGTAGCACAAATTTGATTGGCATTGGACCACAGATACACAACGATTTAAGCCGCTCGAGCTGTGGCAAATAAATGCAATTTCTCGGTTGCTGATTGAGTTGATGGAAAGCCTTTAAATGACTTAAAGACACGAATATATATATTTATATATATTATAGCTGGCCAGCTGACATTTCCAGCAATTGTGTTAAATTCGCCTTTCCTTTGCAGCTCTCAGTTTGTTGACTCTCAATTGTCAACTCTTTTCAGAAAATACTCAAAACTTGTATTCATTTGTTATGCTGGCTGTTGTTGACGTTCTGATTGTTGCCAACATTATTTCAGCTCTAAAAAACTTTTACACTGTTTCAGCCTTTTTACGACGCCTCTCAATTTGACATGGACATTTTTACGAGCCTCCCAAATAGGCAGCCAGCTTTTTTTTCATTTCTCTATTTTTGTTGCCATTCTGTGCCTTTTGGCGAAAATTTGCTGTTTAGAGCTTTTTGTTGCCGTTTCCTCTTAATACTCTATCCCCATTAAAATTGCGTAATAGAGGGTATATACGATCAGGGTGAACATATAGATTGTATAGATAGATATGTACATAAATATATAGGCAAAGAGGGAATTTAGTCTTCGATATAAGGAAAAATCGTTAAAATCGAAATGGCTCATATGCCTGAAGAAGATTTATAGATTATATTATGGGCGTAACAGAAATTCACTGTCTGAAGACAGTTTGAAGACAGTTTATATTGTGTGATTATTTCGGATCGTCGTTCAAAATATTATTTATTATTTGTTATATATATGAAATCTAGATCAAAGGGCATCCTTAATTCGATCAATCTTAACTGCGAAAGTGGCCATATTTTGCAGCCCTGGTATAAACATCAGAACACTTCATAGTCAGGCCTCTCGGTGCATCATAAAAAGCATTGCGTTCTCATTTCGCGAGCGCTGGCGGAGTCATAGAAAGTCGACGCGTCGGGTAATTAGAAAATTAGCCCCTGCCAGCGGCCCATAACTGAAATGCACAACAGCTAGCACTAGCAGCAGCAACAGCAACAGCAGCAGCAACAACAACAACAACTGGTCCTCCGCAAGAGTCGCACTTGACGAGCCAGCGAGGCTCATGCAGCTGCCACCGACACTTGAGCTCGGGCACAATGAGTTTGTCATTTGCGCAATTTAAGTTTTAGTTACACAAGACGCGCACCAACACTCAACAGCTGTGTACAGTGTCCCTAAGTGTGTGTGTGTGTGGGTATGTTGGTATGTTGGTGTGCTTGTGTGCGTGGGTACAGGTGATAGAGTTGTGTGTCATTCCTCCAATGCGACTGCAATTAGTGTGAATTAAGCTGGATTTTCGGTTAAGCCGTTTCCTGTTTCCGGCACGGCCCAATATCCTTGGCCAGCTGTGCCGTTGGCCTTCAGGTGGCTTAGCTGGTATTACAAACTAATAATACAAGTAACACATAAATCGAGGTTAAGTAGCTCGTTTCACAGCACTGACGGACAGCAATGCTGAATTCCGCATGAAGAAATACGTTTCACCATAATGAATGTACATATAAATAATACATAATGCGTATTTTGATTTGTGACCTTTTTTGCTTCTGTTTCGCAGGGCTGACATTGGGCTACCAGCGGCAGTCTGTGAGCAACAACAACAATCACAACAATGTGGATGCAAAGCCAACACATCTGCCACCATTACACTATCCGCATGGCCACAAATGGAATGAGCCGTATTTCGATTTGACAATGCCAAGGAATATCACATCGCTGGTGGGCAAGTCCGCATATCTGGGCTGCCGGGTCAAGCATCTGGGCAACAAGACGGTGAGTACGGCAGGACGGTCGTGGAAAGCCACAGATAAGCATAAATACAAATCATGAGATGGCAATCTTGCTGTGCAGTAAGTACTGGCCACAAGCCCCGCCTGGCCCACTCAGATAACGTCGAATGAAAAAGGAATACACCCACACCCACACACACACAGATATACATTTATGTATGTATTTTTGTACAAAAATTATATGAAACCAGATTGGGTAACCAAAACAACTGCTCGCCTGCTGTGGCGGGGGCGTCTGTTTTAATAATGTTTATTTTTATTTACATTTAATAAACAAAAATGTAGCGACAAGTGTTGGCAATATGCCGGCCATCTCAGATAGTCGCTATACGATGCGATATTGGTAGAGGCCGCATGTGTTGTAGTGTGCGTGCGGGTGTGCGGGTGTGCTAGTGTGCTAGTGTGTGTGCCATAATAACAGACGCTTATTAAATTTACTGTCCGTTTATTATGTACTACGTGACGTTGAAACAATGAACCGAAGCTAAGCCTGGAGAGCACAAGCCAACACATGTTGTCCGTGTGCCCCGCCCAGATATTGTCATTATTTTTATGGCGTCACTTGATTTTCCATGGCCTGAAAAAACTTTGTCCATTTGCTTGCCATATGAGCCATGGCTGGCTCCTGGCCTGGATTATATTCGGCTTCTGTTTCAGTTTCTGTTTCTGTTTCAGGCAATTAACATCTCGTTTTCAAAGCTTTGCCTCGGTCCGCCTCGAGCAGCTGCAGCACTTAGACCTTTGCTCAGACTTGCTTAAAAGCTTGCCTCGTGCGAAATTGCTTAACAAAGTATTGAATTTCAGCAAACCAATTAAATGGGTTGCCATAACTGCAATACGACAGCCGTCGGCCGTACATTCCGGCGGTTCATCAACCCGGACTTGGGCCAAGTTCAGTCCAATGTTTTGTAGCCGCTGTCACTGCAGCACAATCTGTTGTGGAGAAGCATTAAACGTAATTTACGATGGGATTTAACAATTAAAGAGACCCCAAAACACAAAACACGGCCGAATAGTTCGCATTCGCACTTCAGCATTGCAGATATCCACACGTCCACATGCAATCGTGAGAAACTTTGCAGGTGCTCCTCGTTTGGGGCCAGAAGTTATAAATGCTCCAGCGTTGATTACGTTAAGCGATTTAGCGTCGGTTTTGGCACCCAGAATGGGGGTTATAGATTTCCACATAACCAAATCCGCTTCCGCAATCAGTAAACTACACACACACAAAAAGACAGACAGACAGACAGAGACAGAGAGAGAAAGAGAGTGATTGAGAGCGAGGGGATGCAGGGGATTTTGGGGCGAGTTTCTCTAGTTAACTGGCGGCTCGTTTCTGGCCAACGGTAAATTTATGTTGCCAGTGCGGCAAAAACTCTGACGGAAACAAGTTTTTTTCCGTTTTGCAGGCCTGGACTGTTATTGCCGAATTAGACAGACGGCAACTGGAACTGCACAGATGGATGCCTGGCACAGTTGGCTGACTCTGACGCAGTGTCTGTCTATGTATATAGCCGCCGTTCCGTCCGTCTGCTGCTACGTCTGCCAGCGTCCGCATGTGTGTCTGTCGGTGTTTGTGTGTGTGTGCAGTAGTCTCTATAGCAGTTGGCCACCGCATAAAAAGGCACCCAAAAACTTGCCAAAACAGTGGCAACTCGACTATATAAAAAAAAAGCGAAAAATTCAACATCAAAAATTTACAAAATGTAGTGGCCAATGCGGAAAAGGAATGTCCAGGCTAAGAGCACGGAAGTATCATTTTCCGGGGCTGTCATGCGTGGTGCACACTAATTTTTAGTTATTTAATATTTAGATTGCGAGCTGCACAAATTTTCGGCCTGTGCTGGGGCCAGCTACGACCGAAGCATTAGCCAGCAAATTGACACAAGTTTCGGCTTGGCCCAATCAAAATGCAAATCAGCGTGGGAAGCACAAACACCGCAAAAAGAAAGAAGAAAAACGCAGTCTAATATATTTAAATTTTCGCATTTTATGCCTCTTTAAATAGTCTGTGGCTGGAAGAAGTCTGCGAACTCCCTTAAATTAAATTATGTGCAGGATAGCAACAACTATGCTCTGGCGCATTTTCATAATGAATTACTGTTTAATTAATTAAAAGAAGTATAAAGAGAACACAAATTATAAATTGAATAATGGATGGCTTAACACTTCTGTTAAAACAGACACGAGCTGGGAGTTGTGAGTTCTTGGAATATACAAATTTGACTTTGGTTTCAGACAGATATAAAGATACAGATAGAACGACTCACATATTAAATATTATAGCCACAGGGAATATTTACGTATCAATATGGCATTATATGAACAATTTTAATTTTAGCATACATTAATGCCAACTTTAAAGCAAGCTTTGCTTACAGTTATATGAAATGATGCTTAAACTCGTCTCGTTTCGTTCGAGTTGAAAACTCAACAAATTTATTAACTACTGATACTGATGGATTATTTGCACAATTTTGACAGGTCGCTTGGATACGTCATCGGGATCTGCACATACTCACCGTGGGCACCTACACCTACACCACGGATCAGCGTTTTCAGACCTCCTATCATCGCGATATTGACGAATGGACATTGCAAATCAAATGGGCCCAGCAGCGCGATGCTGGCGTCTACGAATGTCAAATATCGACGCAGCCGGTGCGCAGCTATTCGGTCAACTTGAACATTGTGGGTGAGTTCAAACCAAAAACTGTGTCAAGCGATGTGTACTCTATACACGCACACGCACACACACACCCACACATACGTATATACTCCTACATACATAATGGTAAACGTTTATATATCCGTGCAGCTGACGAAGCTTTAGCCGCTGGGCTTTTGCATATTTCAACTTTGGTTAGTTCTCCCAGCGTATACGTAATATTTCGACAGGTCAAAAAAAAAAAAAAAAAGAAAAACAAACGATACTATGGGTATTCACATTTTTTCTTATTTGCATATTCATGCAATTTGCAAAGTGTAAATTATGCACACTTGGCAATATCGCTACAAAAATATACGAAAATAATAAAAACAAGTAACATTATTTGAGCTGAAAGCAACAGACTGCTCAATACTCTATTTAAGTATGCAAGCTAAGATTATTCTTTAAAATTCTTTAGTTTACCAATACAAATTAACATTTAACATTACTCTAAGAAACGTCGAAGTATATTATATCTCAAATTTAAGGTCAAACTCAGCTCATTAAGAATTCTTATGTTAGATGCTGACTAAGACGAGAGTACTCAACTTGGAGCACTTAGTCACTCAACGATGTCGATTTGCACATCCAATATGCTCATATAATACCCTGTACAAACAAAAATCTGGCTCCACAACAACAGCTGCAATACATGATACAATACATGAGCCGATCGAAAGCAGAGATGGGCTACAATGTGGCTCGAATTTCCCCAAAATATGTGAAAAGTTGTCAGAAGAGATGAGAAAAAAATAAATAAAATAAAATAAAGCAAAAAAGTGGAGAAAAAATAGATAGTGGCCACAGCAGATATTGAATTGTATTTTTTCCTTTCATTCAACATGAAAGTCATATGACTTTCAATTAAATTAATTTGCGTTTTACTTTTTTTGTATTTTATTTTCAGTTGTATATTATATTCAGTTGATAATATTGATTCATTGGATTATATTGTATATGGCATAAGTTAAAAAAATTACCATTTGAAGTAAACAGAAATATTTTTTATTTTTTATTATTATTTTTTTTTTTTTGTTTAAGTTTAAATTTTAATTACCTATTTATTATAATTATATGTAAAATATAATAAATTATAATTTAATGTATTTATGTTAGTTTTAATTTGAATCTGTCCTTTCTGCATCCCATTTTTCATATCTTTTATAGGCATCTATAAATATAATGTATTTAATTTAAAGTTGAATAATTTCAGTATTTGCTTATATTTAAACTTTAATCTAAATTATTAAATAATTTAGTATTTAGCACTTTTTCATTTTTAATATTTTTATTCATTATTATTATTTAAGAATATTTTTAATATTATTTCTTTTGAATTTAATATTATTTATATTTTATATTTTCATTTTATTTCATTTCATTGTTTTGATTGTTTTGCTCGCCACAACAAGACCTAATTGACGAGGAGACGAGCAGTGTGATGCAGCAATATTACAACGACGATGCCTTCTACATAGCCGCGGATCGGGTTTATCAGTCCAGCGATGACGAGTTTGCGGGCATGTTTGGCCCCATTCAGACAGTTGCGGGTTTGTAAAGAAATACGACATAAGCAGTGCAAACTCTTAAGGACAGCTGCCTGACAAGCTTATGTGCAGCGGGAACATGCGTTAGTTAACTGTTGCCACAGACAGATGGGGTAGCTGAAAACCGAGAAGTTGACAAGCGTGTGCATATATTATTCGTATACCCTGAGCCCATTCAAAGTTGGAGTTCTGGAGGTATATCGAATAGTGGAAAAACACACAAAGTGTAATACGTCTGGATATATTCGATAGCTATTGCAATCGAATTCAGTTTTTTATTCTCACCTGCTATTTCAGTTCTGGATTTGTAATTCCTAATATTTGATATATAGATAATAGTGGCAGATAGCAAAGCTGACGAATAGAAAATCCGGTTATTTAAACACGAAATTTCTTTACAGTGAGTCACATACTAATTGATTCTGACTATTCAAGCTAGGATCGGTTAAAAAAATATTTTTATATTATATTTTATATTTTATACTTTTTTCATTTATATTTTTTGTTTTAGCTTGCTCGGGTTTGGCCTGTAGTTAGGGTATGTCCTAGTCAGGCATTCCCCACAAGAGTGCTCACTCTCCTTTTTATTATTTTATTTTTTCAAATATATTTCGTGCCAGTTATGTGCACTTTTGAGCCAAGTCCTCCAGTCGGGTGGAAGTAGAAGTGCTGTAGAGGCGAGCTAAGCGCTTGTGGCTGGCGCAACGTTTTTCTGGCTCCTAACGAACAAATTACTTTGGAAAATACTTTTTCCGACTAACTTTGTCAGTTTGTTATTTCCCACATTTTACCTAACACATTTTTCGTACAAAATATTATGGCATAAATTTGTTTATTTCTCAAGTACGTGTCCCATTTAATTAGACAGCCAGAAGTGGAGCTACGGCTAGCTCGGACTGAAATAGTGCGTTGCTAAGCTTAGCTGGCTCTGTGTTTCTCAGTCGAATTCATCTGGCAGCGTCTTGCACAAATGTGGATAGTCTTCGCTGACGCCGTCAGCACAGTGATCCTCCGAAAATGTGCCCGCCGTATAGAGGTCCGACGCTGGGTCGATTTGGCTATTGTAGTAACAGACGAGCACGAATCGACTGGCCTCCCGGTTGAAGTCCTCGGCGGCCGCACAGCCCACGTATTTGTTGTGGTCGTTCAAGATGTTTTTGATCTGCGAGACTTCTCCCACTTCGTTCTGTCCTAGTGCCAGCTTGTAGACCTGGTGCATCCACACTTCCGTCTGGACAGTCAGCTTCTCGGAGTTCGTCGAGCGCGAGTAGTTGGGGATAGGCTCAATATCCAGCCAATTCATGCCATAGTTCAACGCGGGATTAGTGAACGTGGAAACAGCTAAGCAGTAGTTGAGGTCCTGCGAGCAGCGCTTCACATGGTACTCGGCAATCAGAGCGAGCTTAAAGTGCCAAATCAGCTCCGGCATGTGCATGGCCGCGGGCAGCCCCTTAATGTCTCCAGATGCCACTTCCTCGCGGTACTTATTGTGCAGCTTGAGCAGGTAGTCCCGGTAGATTTGCATGTTGAGCAGGATGCGGGTGCGCAGGCAACTCTCATGAAAGGTCTAAGAGCCAGTAGAGTAGTTAGTATAGAATTAGGGATTAGTCAATTGAGAGTCTTACCAAATCGTTTTCACAGCCCAAATGACGCAATCCATTGCATTCAGTCATGTTACAAAAGTCTATTGCCAGGCACTCGTTCCAGCACAGAACAAGCCAAAGAACTAGAAGCTTCTTCATTCGCTGCATTCTATGATCAGAGATCTACTGAAGGCGGCTAACGAGCGGCGCTGGCTTATATTGGGCTACCGGCCGGGTTGGATTGAGAGAGTGATTCACAAATAAACACTGCCCAAGCAATATCAGATGACTTTCATAGGAGAGCAGTTAAAACCGTTTGTTTAGAAATAAAATATGATCTCGAAAATTGTTTATATCTAATTTGTTGACGTTAATGTAAACAATTAAGTGCCAAGCTCTTCGATAAACTAACTCAATGGGTGCTTTCATGTAATGCAAACAGAAGCAATTGAGTCATTGCCATCCACCCCAAGCAGCATAGTGGAAACTTCCCTTTGCTGAGTCTGGAATCCATAGCCACTCTAAGTTTCAATACCAATTAGTCCGAGTTTACCATGTGCTTTGCCACACGATTCGCTTATTGCTCATTTCTGTGTTTGCCAGAGAGGAATGCGCATTTCGCAGACGCCTTTTATTGCCATGCCAAGCTGTGCACTGATTGCCACGGATGGGGGACCACTGACAGGTTGCATAAGAGGCATCCACAACAAAGAGCACGGGCTGGACGCTTGACAATGACTTTGGGCGACATCAAATAGAGTTCTTTGTCGCAGCCAGATGGCATTCGAAATGACCAGCTGCCAATTTAACTAGTTTACTGAGGCATCAACTCAGCCGGGATAAGTCAACCAGGGACAGGTGGCATCGAGCTACATTTTCCCTAAAACACCGCCCCGCCCCTGTTGTTTGTGTAGATTACTGATTGGAAACGGTCACGTAGCTTGCGATATTTTGTCGGTAATTTGCCGTTTCAGCTGCGCTTCAAAATTCGCTTCGATTTCCCATTGCTGAGACTGACGATTCCTGTTGGCTAACTCTTTTCAGTGCCCACGGCCACGATTCTCGGCGGACCCGATCTGTATGTGGACAAGGGCAGCACCATAAATCTAACATGCATCATTAAGTTCAGCCCGGAGCCGCCGACACACATCTTCTGGTATCACCAGGACAAGGTAAGCAATCAATTTGTGAATATTCAACATAAGACGAAACCAAAAATGCTTTAAAGATGCACTTAAAATTCCCGTGTGCGCATCAAATTATCGTGGAATAATTGAACTTTGCCCTCTCTGAGAACTCGGGCACTCAAACTCAAACTGTTTCTCATACCAATACTTAAGCTCAAGGCCCAGCCAATTGCCGCTGGATAAACGTTTCAACTTTTACGAGCGCAGGGCGCGACTTGCGTTCGCGCTTTGTTTACGCTGCGTATACGTAACGTATTTAATTTTAGCTTTTATGATTATGAGAAAACATGCTTTTGCATTTAGCTCGTTGCCAGCCTGCCAGCCTGCCAGCCAGCCTGTCCGCCCGACCCCCTGTAAACATTTCTTTTCAAGGCAAAATTTTCAGGGAAAATGTTTTAATACTCACACATTTGTATACACACACACGCACAGGTGCTCAGCGAGGAGACTGCGGGCGGCCGGTTGAAATTTAAGACCATTAAATCGGAGGAGACCAAATCAATTTTGCTTATCTACGATGCGGATTTATTGCACTCTGGCAAATACTCCTGCTATCCATCAAACACAGAAATTGCCAGCATACGCGTCCACGTGCTGCAGGGTGAGTACAAAGGGAATTGCATGGGAGAGCCTGGGCCGGTTGGGTTGTTGCTCTAGCACATATGGGGCAAGTGCATTAAACGAGTTTAAATGCCAAGTAAGTGGATGGAACCGGTTAGCAAAGCAACATCAAGCAAGAAATCGAGGAATTCAATTCAACTGAAGCCCATTACCTGCAGCTGCAGTTGAGGGGCTTTCGAGTATGACGATTGCATTGAAAGTACTTGCAGCTACTTGACCTTTCTCATATACATATATATATTCTAATATATATACTGAAGGATGGAGGACGCTCTCAGCATTGTTGTCGACTTCTTGTGCAATTCGTAGCCGACGAAACTTTATGCATTTCTGAACAAACATTTTAGTGAGCTAACCACAACAGGCATAAGTATTTCGGTTCCACGCGGCGGTCTATGGGGGCCGTGAAAGGGTCCAACAAATTGTAACTCATTTATGCAATGTCTGCATTAATTTTTCTTCTGTGTTTGCTCATTTCGCACAGGCGAGCGACCCGAAGCCATGCAAACGAATGCGGCGCCGGCTGCCGTCGCTTTGGCCTGGACCTGCCACACGAAACAGGCAACGCAGGCAGTCAAAGTAATTAGCACAATGGTTGCGGCATTTGTATTGTTGGAGGCCTGCTGCACACTGCTGCTCCAGGGAGCAGGAGGCGGCGGAGGTGGGCGCGAAGGACAAGAAGACAGAGCAGGACAAGAGCAGCGTCAAGCGGCGCAGGCGAACAGGAGCAGCAACAGCAACAGCAACAGCAACAGCAGCTGCCCTAACCGCGACCATGTTGGCCAGCGGACGACGTCAACTTCGGGCAACCATGTCAATAAGAGCAGAACAACTGCGCGGTGATAAATTAAAGCAGCCCGGTTAGAAGCGCCACAGAACCGCCACCGCCAATGCGCCGCCAGCCAAGCAGCAGTACGTAACTAAGTGGGCTGCCCACTGGAGGGCAATCGAGATGTGAGGCCTGGCTGTCGCTCAAACGATGCAGATGATGCAGTGCAGCAGAGGCTGCGCCGGTGCCACTGGCAGCAGCTGCAATGCCAAATACTAAAACAAGAAAGGTAAGCTAATTACGCTAATGATGAGCCGCTGCATATGATTCGTCGACGACTGCCGCCAGCCTGCTGCAGCGACTGCTTCTCGAATACTCTCTAAGTTGTAAGTAAGTGCGTGTATAATTTAGTGGGTTGCGACTGGCTAAAGCTGGGACAGCTGTGTACATAGTACTCTTACCTAAAGTCATATGCCAGCACTAGAGACATTAGTAGAATATAAATTAAGAGAGAAGTTGATTAAACGAAGAAACTTAAATAATGTATAAATCATATATGCTACTCACTAATAGAGAAACCCGTTCGGTCAGTAATAAGTAAATACTCGAAAGCCAACTAATTGCCAGTTTTCGTTGTGTACATTGGAGATCTGTAAGCAGCTTACGATCGGCAGTAGCTTAGACATGTTCCACGATAATCACTTGTATATATTTGTAGACCTATTTCATAAGCAATGTAAATACTTACGATTACTCTTACTGCCCGTACCTAATCAGGTGCAGCTACAAGGCTAAATATTCAGTTTTGTTCATCCAGTATATTGTTATATGTTCCTATTACCAGGCCTGCATTTGAAAGCCTCTTCGTTTGTCGGTACAAATTTATTCGGCCTCGCCTCTTCCATCCTAAACTATCAGTTATCTCCCCATACTTACATTGCCCGAGTCTGTGCAGAGTTTGGCAACATTCTCGAGCCATATGTTGGGTTCCTTCGGCAGGATACGGGGCTCTTATCTCCTTCCTCGAAAATGTCATGCGCCTGTCTTGAGTATTCCGCAAAGTTTTCTCTGTGTGCGCACAGTCCCGAAAGTCTGCAGTTTGCTTTATTTGTAGTCACAACTTCATCGTGTCCGGCCGTATTTCCCAGCAAGCTGCAAGTCACTTTGCCAATGGCTGTCAACAAAATATTTGCATTTATATTTGCCAAGCAGCCCGTTCAGTCAAGTAGCACCCAAGCATTCGGTTCAGTTTAGTCCTGGTCTGTTTTGTTCCGTTCAGTGCTGGATCGATGGCACATAGTTGCCCAGGTACTCCTATTCCCAGGATAGCCTCGCCGCCTCCTGCCTGGCGGTCCCCTGCGCCACTTAATGTCTCCCATTTAAAAATGCATGCGACTGTCCGCTTTAATGGCCGGTCGACTATTAAATGCGATGGCCGGGGGCATGGCCGGGCATTAAACTGTAAACTGTTGAAAATTGTAAATAAAATCGCATATATGTACATGTACGTATTCGAATAAATTAAAGCTGCTTTATTTAACTAGATATGGTAGTCGTGCGTGTGACCATTTCCAAAGAAAAACCAATTGCTGTCATAAATATTAATATTAATAATTAAAAATTATAAATGTGCGCCAGTGAAGTTTGTCGCGTCATTTATGGGAATGTTTAATGAGTATATGCAAATGCTGCTATAAGCATAAGCGCGAAAGCGAGAGCAAAAACAAAAACCGAAACCGAATATATAAACAAACAAAAACAAAACATGAGTATATGCAGTTAAGAGCAAAGAGTACATCTGTGTATGTATTTAGGCCCTGTATAAAAATAATATCGAGTATTATAATCAGACGTAATAATAACATGAATAGCGATAAAAATAAAAACACTAAATAAAACTATGAGCATACGAATATACAAATGTCAGACAGGCAAATGATGATGATGTTGATGATATTTTGTTACAAACAAAATGAGAACGCATTATAATGGATTATAAAGTTGTTTTAATGTTTAAGTGAGTAGCGCCAGCAGAGCGTTAACATGCATTAGGATTAACTACGTTTATAATGAAAACCGCAAATATTTAAATAAAGTTTTTAGTTATTATGAAAATGGTAAATACTGCATACGCTCTGCCGTTTCATTCCTAATTCCGCCGACACTCTAATCGTCGGGCTGAAAAGTTATAATAAATTACATGCACGTTGAGTCCGGGGTAATATAAGGTCGGCGAACAAACAACCTTGGGAAGAAGCTCACGGGGAGCCGCAGTGGAAAAAGATTTATGCAAATATTTGGCACACAGATATCTTAACGGCTGCACATAATAGACAACGGAATGGTACAGGAGGCGAGGTCCTGTTGCGAACGCGTTTTCATTTTTCAGCCTAATAAAGTAGCAACCGAAGAGAATGTAAACTTTCGGCTGGCCTCAGCGGGATGCCGGAGTCCAGGACGGTGCAGAATGCGCATAAAGTGCTGTCCTGTCCCCGTTGTTTCCTGCCTTCCCGCTTTCCTGCTCTCCTGCCCAGGCCATGTGTGCGCCCTACCGGTAAGGCATCAGCAGCCGTTAGCATAAAAGTTTATTATATGACAAGTAAGTACATATATTTGTATTCAGCTATGTGCCGAGCCAGGCCTCGCTCCACAAGCCAAATAACGGCAATATCATGCCAAAAAGTTTAATAGCCCAAGACGCGTCAAGGCGAATTGGCTGGAAAACGTCAGGCACGGCCAGGAACACTCAGCGCATATGAAGCGTAAACTTTTTTGCCAGAACGCACAAAGAAACGGAACTCGAAATAAAACTATACAGGAAAGTACAACGAAAGTGGAGTACCCTGTTCAATCGATAGATTGCTTATCGTAATCATAAATAAGAAATTTTGAACTAATTTTACTCTTTATGATTTGCCTCAAAAATTTAATATGTATTTTTTTTTTAATATATTATAATTTCTTATTATAGATAAATAACAAGGGCAATGGTTAGTCCCACAATAAAAAAATGTTCCTGAGCAGTAACAACAGCTCAACTGTCTGTCAATCTCAGAACTTTTATTATATAGAGATTTCAAGTGTTGTACGTAGGCTCTCCTATGCGCTGCTCAAGTTTGTTTACAGCTACCCTTTTATATAATTTGGCGCTTAGTCTCTCAAATATGTATGTTTATAGAATTACCATTTGCTTCAAAATTCCGATGTGAGCTCAAATAAAAAAAAAATAATAATAATAAAGGGTAAATAAATATATACAAAACAGAAAAAATTTTATAATAGACGAAGACTCAAAAGACTTCATCGTCTGGATCGTCGGGGATCTTTAAATAAAATTAAGTTGAAATAAAAAATACCTGCATACCTCAAAAATGGACTGTAGAACTTTAAAAACAATTAAATATATAAGAAAATCAATAATAATAAATAGGTAAGTAATTTATTTATTTACAACTTAAACACAAACTTATATGATTTATTGAAATCTATGGATTAATTCCTAAATTTTGTTGAGTAACAATTAAGTTACTATGCAAAAAATAAGATATTATTTTAACATTATTTACATTATTTTTATTTATAATTATTAGAATAACATATAATTGCAATTGTTGAATGTTGTATAAATTTGCCCTTATTTACATGACATGATATTAAGTTTTTACCTCCAGACCCTTTAATGTGCGTCTGCACGCGTAAAAGCGTGGGTTTATGAGTATACATGTCTATGCTCGAAGCTCGAGGTAAGTAGTATGCAAACTGAACGAGGTTCCCGGTATTTTCTAGGCGAGCTCTCTCGACTAGAGCTTGCGTAATTTTATGTTATCAATCGCCCACACTACGATTTCGTCTAAAATAAAATGTATTCAGAATATCAATATGTCTTTTCGCCTCATATAGAGGTTTTCCTGTGAAGAACATATACAAAACATTTCCACGAACCACCCAAAATGCTTGAAGGAAGTGCATGGCCACGTTTGGTTTGGGAATTGCCCAACCTTACTTTTAATTGCACAGGGCTTATGGCCCGATCAGCGAGAGAAAGAGTGAGAGAGAGGGCGAGAGAGTGGCTGCTAGTCAGCAGCTGGCATATGTACGGTCTGGCAATTTCAGATGAAAGCTAGAATGCCGGAGGAATGTGTGCCAGCTGGTGCGAGGAGCAATTGACAAAGGCAAAATAAATTATCATCATTGTGACATTTTCATTTGTCAGCGTAATTTGCTTTGAGTCACATTTTCGCATTTTTTTCTTTCTCTCTCTCTCTCTCTCTGTTTTCTTTTTTTGCGACGAAATGCGTCGGCGCTTAAAAGCCCACTACAATTTGTGCACCTTTGAGGCGCTGAGCGCAGCCAATAAAAAAAAAGCAGGCATTTTGGCGAGGAATTTGCTCTGGTGCCTGGCCGGAGTATATTGGATGGCAGGATGGCCTGACAGCGAGCTGAAGCGCTTTTTTTATGGCTTGTAATGTGCCGTGTGGCCGGAATATTGCTCTTATTATTGTTGTATGGGTTTTTAATGTGGAGAAATATGATTTGATTTTTTGCATTTATTTCTTTGCATTTGTCGCTCGACATCTATAATTTATTGGGACCAAGGCTGCCAAGGCACAAGCATTCGAATTTGATTCCCTTTTGAGTCGTCCTCATATAACGAACATAAATCAGGCGACTTATGTTGCATATGCAAAACAACAATGGCAACAACAGCAGCGAGAACAACAACAATGAGGAGAGCACGAGCACAGGTTTCGCTTTAATGTGTGTGCCTCGCTGAAAATCCACTACATAATTTATTGACATCGTATTGAAGTGCTCCCTGGCAAGCACTGTTGGACGGGCTGCCAAATGTAACTCGTCCTCCAGCTGCCGCCTGGAATTTTCAGCCATATTTGTGGCTGTATCCCTGTGTCTGTATGCGCTGCTACGTGTTCGAATGGCTGGCTGGCGGATCTGTGCAGTCATCCAGTTAGTTGTCAAAGCAAATGCCTGTGGCGTCCGACGCCGTTGTACGCTCCAGAGCGTTTAACTGCTGCAATGGACATTTCGATGCATCGACAAAGCGGTTTATCTAAATCATTCAAGGCAGGCCCGAAGAGATTTACATTTTTATACCACGCTCCCTTTGACAAAAGCTATGTACCGTATAATGCACATCAGCCACGAGCCTCGACCTCACAGATTGCTTGTATTCAGAATCTCGGATATTTAAATGTATTTGTGTCACGCTCAGTTTAATATTATGAATGATTAACATTCATGAAGTGAATACACTCGTTTAGAGACCAGCTGAGTTGTACATCGTCTATCGATGTGTCAATGCGCATAATATAACTTGATTATAAACAATTGATTTAGTATTCCTTTAGTTCTTATCAGAGCTCTGCAGAGTTCAATTTCGTTTTTAAATAGTAAGTATTTAATAAGTAGATATTGAAAATCGTTTAGCTTTTTAAGCTACGGCAAATGCGCAGCATGTGACTTTTGTATTTGTGTGTGTGTGCAGTGGATTGATATAAGTTGTAAATTTCTGTTACTAGTGCTGGCAGCTGTCTATATGGACAATAAGAGTTGAGCTCTATTGACTAGAGATACCTTATATATTTTTTGTGTGTTTCATACCTGAAGGAAGTCCCTTCACTTCTATCCGTTTTCTTTGTAACGTACAAATTCGGGATCTCGTTCCCTTTTAATGAGTTGAGTGTAAGCAAATAAGAATAATCATTTTAGCTACCATCGGAGGTTTATCGCCACATTTCACTTTCATGTTACCCACTTTTGTTTTTGGCCAAATTGTTTAGTAAATAATTTACTTATCTAATGAAATTTTTGTGGTCGTTCGTGCATGCATCATCGACGTGCACACTCAGAGCTATCACACAGTACTTATATATTTTCAGCACAGTACTTATATATTTGAGTGGCTAACAAATGATGCTTTTAAAATTGCGAGTGCTGCAGACACAAGAGAGAGAGATTTGAGGAAATATCTGGTTTAGTTATGTGTTAATTTCCAAATGGAAATATCAAAATATTTAAATATTTATATTTGTTAGTTTTGCAGATTTGGCAATAGAAAACTGCCTACGTAATAATTTGATTTGAACTAATTTAATGAATTCAACAGCCTTGCAAAATCAATCATATAATATAAATATGTCGGTTTATGAAAAAGTTCTTAGATAACAATTTTGCATTTGTCTGTGGATATATTCGGTAAAGGGTAGTGGACAATGATAACAATATGACGTCGATGATTTTTGTTGATATATATTGCAATTAGTTTTTACTCACTTTCAAGATATGATAGACTTGGCGCTGCTTTGTATTCAGCAAAGAGTTTTCAACTCCCAACAATGATTCCGTATGCTGTAAGCAAAGCTTCAAAATATATTCATAATTTAATTTTGGATCAGGCATATCAACTCATCTGGCAAATACAATATTGAGATATTCTCTATATATGTTAATAATTCATTATAAAAATGCAATATACCCATTTGAATCACATCAATGTAGGCAGGGTAGACTTGGATATGCAAACCAAAACTTTGTGGCTTGCGCATGATTAAATTTTCATATGCCATGAGCTCTGGTAAAACAATGTATGAGATGACTCTCTCTTTGCTGTGGAGTAATGTGTTTTGATTAGAAAATCGTTTTAAAATTGCTGTCGTTGTTGTGTTTATGGTTGCATATGTTTGTTATTTGTATTTGTTTTCACTTGCGTCGCGCCAAATTTGACCAGCACTGACCGAAAACCTATTTGTATCAGGATTAACACAACACACACACACAGAGTGGGAGAGGGAGAGAGCGAAAGAGAGAGAGAGACAGAGACACACATGCACACACAGAAATCCTTGTAGACGAGAATCGGATTTTGAAAATGTGCAACATTGTTGCTGCTGGCCTCGTTATTATTTTTGTTGCAATTGCTGCTGGTGTGGCAATTGCAGCTGTATTTGCAGTCGCCTTTGTCGTCTTCATGCATGCCCACAAATGGGCCCTCAGACCGAAAATTGTTGCTTACTTTCTGCACTCTTTGCAGTGTCACTTTTGCGGTCATCGTTGCCTCGTTGGCTCGTTGCAACTCTTGTTGGACTAGAGCCCTAATGCAATTTGTCATTTT